AAACATGCTTGAAAACATGGTTGAATACCCCTTGCTCGGGAGGGGGGGCCGATTTGACCCCCTGAATTATAAAAAAATATTGAGCTAGAAATATCGAATTCACAGAGTGAGTTAACCGATATATGACGTCACTTGTATCAACATTTGAGGTTCCTAGGTTGTGACCAATTTGTAAAATAAGGTCACACAAGGTTAAAACCCAGATAAGTGTCCAAGGTGCCCCCAGACCTCTCCATGCAAACACGGTAAACCTAGATACCTGTTTTAAGCAAAAGGTGACTGGCGTTTATCTGAGGCCTACTGAGCTGGTTTGAGCTTTTGAAGGTTATGGTGACCAGATTCATACAAGACTGCTTTGATATTTGCATCCGAATAAGCGTCTAGGACCACGCTAGACGGTATGCATCTAAAAACAAATGTTGACCTGGGTTGTTTCAAAATAGTGGCCTATTCTGACCTTTCAAAAAGGTCCATGGAAGATACCTGACATAGTCCCTTTTGTTGAAAGATTTAAAATGAGCACCAGAAACTGCTCCACACATCAAGCTCTGGAGTAAAAAAGAAGATTAGGTTTGACATCGGTCTGAACTTTATACCTGACCCTAGGTCAATGGAAATTGATGTAATAATAAATTCAATTGTTGAATTGCTTAAGCAACTATCTCAGAGATGCATGGCTTCGTACAACACCCCATTGTCGCATCACGTTAAAAGATTTCCTCAAAAGATCCTTAGCTGACAGCCATGGTCTGACGTTAGCCTGTCGCAGGTCAGCGACCTTACAAGGCATATCTAAATGCTTAATGATAAACTGTCGCTATTCAGTTACCTACAGCTAGGCAAAATTTGCCGCAGGTACCCCACGCCGGTCGAAAATCATTATGGAAAGACGTTCGATGTGGAGGGAGGGGAATTGGCCCCCAGCCAAACGCGTGTAAAGCCAATTACAAGTTTTAACTTACTTTATCAGTGTTGCTGTTTGTATAACAGGCACGATCTCGCGGAAAATTCCCGACAAAGATCTCACGAGTAAGGTTACCATTGACGCAGCTGACTAAGTTAGATAAGGTAACTGTAATAGCCTTATTCCTCGGAGAAAAACCAGGAGAATGAAGACAAATGTATTTATATTTCGGCAACATGTCATTATAGAAACAAATAGCAGAAGTGAATTCAATATTACCGCCAACGATCCTACTCGATTTTTTAGATTTCTTAACGGTGAGCCACTGCTTTTACAGCACAGCAGCATTCAAAGGACTGATCGAGGAGCAATTGCTAGTCATTTCTATGATACAACGCATATATAACAATAACAATGCACGAAATTACGTGCACATGCAAACGAATTCAAGTAAACAGCGATCACGCATCACGCTTCATTCAAATATGCCAGCAAGTTGAAGTAAACAGGCAGCACACATGACATTGGTTACTGTGTGATATGTGACGTATCTCACATCACACTGTCTGTTTGCTTCAACTCACTTGCGCGTTTGAATGAAGCATGATGCATGGTGCCTGTTTAGTTGAGTTTTTTTGCATGTTCGCGCACTTTTGCGCATTATAATTTTTAGATGTGTTATGTATCGTAGTAATGGCTGGCAATTGTTCCTTGTTTAATCCCCTGAATGTTGGTGTCCTATTATAACTGTTGCTCGCTGTTTCAAAACAAATCCCGACAAATCGAGTAGGATCATTGGCAGGCACTTCTGAATTCACTTCTCTGATTTGTTTCGATAAAGGCGTGGTGCCGAAATATCCACGCATCTACATATCCATTCTCCTGGTTTTTCTCCGAGGAATAAGGCTATTATTAGTTGTCTTATCTATGTGAATAATGTTCCTCGCAAATGCATTTAACAAATTACAAGTCATTTATTTCTTGATTTTACTTCAGAGACGGGCGGGATATGCTTCTATCAACATTTCCATCTCATAGTTTAATTGATATCTAACCTGAATTGCTGACTTTATTTGATAGTTGAAGTGGACTGGCACGCAAAGCCCGTACATTACGTGGCCACCTAAAACTTAGACCAATCTGCTTGGAAGGTCTGCTGCACGGACTGCAGCTAATGCATTGCAAATAATACAAAATTGCCTATTTTCACTAATCAAAATGATTCGGACAACCCTTTGAAAACAATGTGATAACTTCGTTCCATGGTATAGCAAGAAGTGGAAACGTTTGAGACATATATTGAAAGGTTACGTAGCCCTTACCAGACCGTTAGAAATGTTACCTCCCCGCAAATCCACAAGAGCGACGAACTCCGTCGCACCGTCTGTTACACAGCACATATGCCACCTTCCTTCGCACATCGCATGGTAATGAGCTATCGCCGCGAAACATGGCTCAATGGTAGTGTTAGGACTGCCGTGCAGTTCACTATACTGTTTGCGCACCAGGCCTTTCAGAAGTGCGAGCCGTCTATCCCCTCCTTCCTCCCCTCGGCGTCCGCTGCATGCGCTCGGTGGTCTACCTCCGACCACAACCGGCGAGGTCCGTAGAGCGCGGGTGTGACAGATGGCGCCACTGCGCCGGCTGGCGGCCGGCCCGGCTGCTCTGGCCAGCTGCTGCGGGCCGGGTGACTCAGGCGCGCGCCACCGACCGCTAGCTGATGTCACCGCTAGATGAGGCCCTCCTGCACGTCACGACCGCTCCGCGCCCAAATCGCCCCTGCTGGCACCCGTCCCCCACCGGACGGGAACACGGTGCTGAGGTCAAGGTGTCCCAACTCTGGCCCGGCAACTTCTCCTCACCCTAACCCTGAAGACGTCAAACGCTGTGGTTGCTCAAATGCGCCGCAAGCCCCGTCATCCGAAACATTGCGTGTTCCAGCTATCGCAAGTTCGGGTGTTCGGACGGTTTCGACGGCAGGTGACGTTACAGCGGCGCTACAGCACCCCTTTTCGCCAGCGGCCGCTGGTCAGGGCGGCTCAGTATGAAGTGGTGCACTAGCATCTATAGCCGGGGGCCACAGGCCTGCAAATCCATCTTGTTCCCTCGCTATCATACTGCGAGCCAGCCCTCTAGACCCTAAAGCGAGTGGGAGCTTCCCAGCGACGAATATGGAAAACTTGCGATTAGTGTCACCCCCCGTGGTGAATGTAATGGACTAGATAACAGTCTCACTGAAGCCAGAAGGACTACCTAAACAGTGACGACTTTCCAAGTGCATATGTCGAAATTCATTGTGCAGCGTGCGAAGAATTTAGTTTGAATTTAAGGAACAGAAAACCGACAAAAGTTGTACACAGCAAGAACTTCCTTGGAGCATCATAACAAACATTCATCCAATGACTAGCTGGTAGCTAATCATTGGATGAATGCTGGTTATAAGTTGGTAGCTAAACTGTTCCACAGAACAACAGTTTAGTAGAGGATTTGAGCGACGCGATGCACTCTTCTCAACTATCTCGGCGAAGCCTTAGAGCCGCTGACATAACCGGTATTGGTGTCCTGTACCCGGACCAAGATTGCCATTAGTCTGAACATACAGTGTTATGGACCCTCATAAAGAAATCAATCGAAGGAGAAATTGACCAGATTGGTACTCCAACAGTGGCTTTGAATTTTACAGCACAAATTCCTCCCAAAACGTTAATATTACGGGGTCAAAAATATTTCATAATGACCTTGAACTGGCCTTCGCAAACGAATAAAGGTGAATGAAAATAAGTTGTTATCTTAATCCAATTGCCTAATAATCTAAAAACGTGGATGGCATCTTGAAACACTAAATTACCACGTCAACGTGACATAATTCTTAAAATGTGTCATTGCTGACATTCCGGGACTGATTTTGATCTGCCGCAAGCCGCCGACCTTGAGAGGTATATATTTTTTTACCAAACGATCGACTATTCAGTTTTCTATTGCTACGCAAAGCTTGACGCCCTACGGCGTGATATTTCCAGGTTGTTCTGGAAACACTTCTTGAGCGTCAAACTGTCCCCACATCCAAACGAGTGTAAAATTTAAAATTGTTCTTGCCGATTTTTTAAAAGATAGTCAACGGCAACTTAGCTGTACTTAGCAGTACTTGAGGTTTCCTGGTGCCACACCAGATTCGCACTGGAAACATTCACGCAATTGTCTAAAATACACAACGGTCACCTCGCTAGCCTCTCATGTACCAGAGAGGGAGCATGATGTTCAGCGTATCTAATGACTGAGGGAAGATGGAGAGGGAGAGCGTTGCTCTGAGGGGCGTCGTCTTGGAGTGAGAGAGCCGATACACTCAGCCGACGACTGGCATTCCTGCGCCTGGAGCCGCGCCCAGAATTGATCCGTGCTAACGGAAATCGCTAATGAGGTCCGCGCTGCAGAACACTGCCAAGGTTTCGGCAGAACCATCGTAAGGCGATACAGCCTCACAAAACTTCACAGGGCAAGATGGCCAAACAGATCGCAATCAGTGCCGATTTGTCGTGAGCATCGATGCAACAATACATTTTGTTGGGTGTGTGGTATATGCAAAAACCACCATTAATAACAGCGCATAAGGGTGATTCCTTATTGGATCGCAACGGACAGCATCCCATGTGGACAAAGTCAAGCCTGATTGCGCGATGATCACGTCATTCAAAACGTGCTGAAACGTAAGTTCTTGCGATTAACCATGAGCTCAAATAGCATCAGACACCTGAGGATAACACCAACTACGACGTAAAAAATTGAATGAAATATCTCAGCTGCCAAAGCTCCGAACTTCATGTCATTTCTTGACATGGTATCACATGGTTTCGTAACAATCCTTCCCTTCTGGAGCGTAGGACCAACGGTGAATGACCCGGGCGGTGGTGAGCTGTCCACGCATTTCGGTTCCACAGCATAAAGACGTGCGACCACCAATTTAAACTTCAAGCTCCCCTACAGTTCAGTGAGACCCAGGTCAGGTCAGGTCACAGTGCGCAGGGCAGCACGGTAACGATATTGGGCACACCATGCGGCACAGTGAGAAACCACTTCGACCATGTCCACTTGCCTTCAGGTCTTCAACAAATACCACCGACCGTGCTGCGGAGGCGGCGCAAGAGCCAAAGAAGCCCATCGAGAAGGTAGTCTTCGTGCGCTTCGAGATCAGCTCGGAAGAGGAGAGCACCGCCGAGAGTTCGGACGAGGACGAGGGGGCGATCCCGGCCGAGGAGCGATCACCCTCGCCGGCGCGGCCCAGCCCTCCGCGCGGCTCCGTCAGCCCGCGTCCCGGCGAGCGGCCGGCTGCGCCACGTCCGCCGCCAGCCATGCCGGTCGAGGCCGAGCAGGTGCCTTGGCGCAGGCCCAAGCTAAAGCGGGTTGAGCGCAAGGGCTCGGCCACTCCGCAGCCGCCGGCCGAGGCACCGCCGCCCTGGGCGGACGACGCCAAGAAGCGACTCGGCGATGTCCCGGTGCCGCTGCAGAAGCAGGCGGCGTCAGCCAGGTTCGTGATGAACTATGCCTCGAGAGCGTTTTAGATGGCCAGCCCGCTACGCAGGTGGCAGAACTTTATTGACAGGCGTGCTGATATCGTTCTAATCACATCGATCCATGATATTTGTGGAATGTTCGAATCACGCACGGTACCTGTTTTGGCGTCTTCGACGTCGTTGTCTGCAGCGCGCCTGAACGTTGCCGCTGGCTCGGTCTGTCCTCAGCAAGCCGGCTTGGGCCGGCAAGCAGATTGACGTGGACATGCTGGAGGACCTGGAGAAAAAGCACCAGGAGCGAATTCCGGCTACACCGGCCCAGCCGGACTGGACGGTGAAAAAGATGGACGCCGCTGCACTCGGCCGGCTGGAACGGGCCAACCGACTGGACAAGATGGCCAGCTTCGACAAGGCGCCGCCCGACTGGGCCGACAAGCGCAAGTCGCTCGGTGAGTACTGGGGACGCTGGGACCCGCTATCCCACGCTGGGACCGGTTGTCCCACGGGAGCCGCTGCACGAACGCCGGACGACGGATACTGTCGCGATGTAAACGGGATGCCGCACGTGATGTGGTAGGTGACCGGCGAATGTACGTCGTCTGCGTGTGGGGGAAAACGTGTCACGTAGAATGTGCAAGGTGCTGTCAGTAATCTTGTTCACAACGCACATGTTTTAGATGGCGATCCAGCTCCATTGAAAGTAAAAATTGATCATAGAACTAGTCACTTTAGTTGTGGAAGTTATGCCAAAGAGCTGACTGTACGCTACCGAAATCCAATTTCTCATCAAATGCTCGACACTTTCGTGTGAACGTTTCACAGTTAGCATAAAATGTATAGTTGGAGTTAAATGCCTTTATTTTGTTTAAGAGAAAACCATGCTCGTAGATTCAAACCCGCTACGAGCCCATCCCGTCCAGCTGCCACTCGCTTTGCCCACGTGGGCACCGTTGGTAACGTCGAGAGGTGCCAATGATTGAGCACAGACATGGCACTACTCTAGACAGATTATCGTGCTGAACGGCGCTTGAGTTAAGGAACGGCACTTATCATTACTACCAGCTTGTTAACGCTGTGGATGTTGGGTTGGCCCAAACGTAAAAACCTGTTAAGTACTTCGATTTAGCACCTGGTCCAACTAAGTGGAGTCAGAACGACGGACGGGGTATCTTGCAGACTTCAGCAAGCTGCAGGAGCTGGATGCGAAGGCAAAGGCAGAGCAGGTGGCGGAGCCGAAGCCGGTACCTTGGGAGGGAGTGCAGCTGGTGCCCCCTCCTCCGCCGCCACCACCACCACCGCCGCCAAGACCCCCGCCGCCACCGCCGCTGCCCGGTAAGCTCGTGCTGTCCTCCCGCATCCAGCCTCTTGTTAAACGAACCCTGATGTTCAGCAGCAAGAAGCGAGGGGTGGAATAGGAATGTAGTATAAGATCCCGCTGTGCTGAAAAACACCAAGAAGACGTCACTTGACTTTCTGCGCGGGAATCTATCCGCCAATAGCTTACAGCCCCCCCCCCACCCAAAAAAAAACTGGCGTAGGAAACCGTCAGGAGCTTGTTCAGCCGGCTTCAGCACAACCTAAGCACATGTCAAACATTCGGTTCAGTGTCATATGGGCTCCTTCTTTTAAACTTCTTAAGTCTCACTCGAAAGTTCGGTGAGCCAAACCTAATCATTGGCCGTGCATGATACATCTGTCGGCTTCAGGTAAACAGCCGATGTCGGAAGGGCAGAAACAGCGCCTGGAGAAGCTGAAGAAGACGCCACGCCGGCGCCCTGACTGGAGCACGATGATGAAGGAGATCGGTCAGCCTCGCAAGATGAAGCACGTCGAGTGTAATGATCGCAGTGCGCCCATCGTCAAGAACCTCAAACGGAAGGACAACGAGGTGTGGTTGCACGCATGCTGTCCAAATAAGTGAATGTAGATTTGAGGGGCAAGGTGTAGGTCCACGTTGAACTGAGCAAACACAGAATATAATCCACCGCACAATCTTGTTACATGATCAAATAACAGCTACTCGGTTGTCAATAGGCCATTGGGGCCAGTCTCTCCCCAGGTATCCCTTAACCACATGCTTTTCCCAGGCCTGCCACCAAAGAACGCCGACGGACCTGTTTCGGGTCATGCAGCGTCACAGCGCAAGCGCGCCCCGTGCCAAACTACCCTATACATGGTCAATGACCAGCCGACCCCCGCAAACGAGCTAACGAAATGAGCAACCCTTTTTGGGGGAGCGAAGCCATGTATCTACCGTTGCAGTACCCAGCAGTCTACTCACTTAACTATGGCAAGCGATAAGCGATGCCTTACCATGCTACACTACCATTTCAGTTTGTTTTTGAGTCGGAGAAGGAAGCTTCCGCCACAGCAAAACTACTTAATGAAATCCGAACCGGCGTCAAGCTGAAAAAAGTCAAGACTAAGGACAGGAGCAAGCCAATGCTGGAAGGTAGCAATCTACAGCGGAATGCTGGACTTTTATAGTGCTCTAAATCACATGCAGCGGAAAATTCTGCAAAGAACGAGCCTCTAGCATTCAGCCACGTGATTTGAGGCGCCCAGAACGGGATGTGGGTGAGGCCATACAGCAACAATGTTCCATGCTGCTGCGTAGATATCCGGATCGCCCCTCTGCCATACCTTCGGCAGTTTTTGTATTCATGTTGCCACAAAATACATGAGAATGTATAGCTCCCAGCACTCACGTCTTCTGCACAGCGTCCACACGCCACAGCCGTACTGTGAAGCGGCTGCAGCATCCGACGGTCCAGGCGCTGATTCTGTTTGCTTACATGGCAGGCCTGCGCAAGCTGAGGCGACAGAAGACGTCAGAGGCCTTCCTGAACCTGCCGCCCGAGGAGCTGATCGACTCTGAACCGGAGGAGCTGGATGACATCGATAAGGTCCGTTTTCAGGTGTCGGGAAAAGCGTCAGATACAATATCGATGCAACGGCGACCAAATGCTTTCGGTCCGAGAAAATCCGGAACATTCAAAACTTATTGACGTGCAGACGACTTCGCGGCAGAAACGTCATAGTGCTAAAACGTCACAGTGGAGCGCGCCCGGATTTCCGTAAAGAGCGGGTGGGGGCACCATTCAGCTTTCTTGCTAGGCTTGCCGGACGGCAAACGTGGTTTGTCAAAATCTGGTGTTATTTGCGGGCATTGTTTCTTGGCCAAAATATCTCTGATATCCCTCGCGGGGAAACGGAACGCATTGTTACCATGCATTGCAGCCGACAGTCTAGAAAGTTAACTTTGACCGCGCAGAAAAAGTGAGTTCTGTCCGAACGCCAGAGGTTGTCGATGAAGTCCTGGGAAGCGGCATGCTTCCGATTCAATCATCCGCGAAAGGCTGTCCGCCCCTTCCATTTAGCCTCTGTCAGCGTTTGGCGGCGGCGGTCTTGTGAGGAGTCTTAGACGCAGAAAATTCCAAGGCCTATCCGGCTGGTCTTGTACAGCTCACGAGCACGTCTCGGACGCAAAACGCCGGACAGAAGCTTTGGGAATCTGCAGGACCAAGGCTGCGAAATCTTGGACAGCTTGATGCGTTGAGCTTGTTTTGATCGGTCCAGAAACTTTGCTGTGCTAATACTGACCTGTTTTTTAAACAGGAAACGTTTCGGAAGTTCTTAGAACTGTTTGTCATGTCAGATTGCCTCGGATAAAGATGCTCATGCTTTCTCAAATCACGCCGTGTCAAATCAAGTGACTTGGTTTCTCAAAAAGATCTGACCACCCTGCATCTTTCAAGTGATCGACGATCCTCACTGGTGTGTTATGTATGAACAAACCAGAAAAAAGTTACTGTCAAATGCAGCCGGAAACTCGTCATTCATATAATGATGGCTGAAAGAAATAGCTGAAGTATAAAATTTTGTGAAAGAAGTAACTGCCGTAAAAATGTGTGGGTTGACCTACACTTAATGGTTCATGTTAAATTTCTCAACTAACTCTCAACTAAGGCCCCCCTCCGACTTCGTTTGGGAACTTCCCTTTTCCAGCCTTCTGCTGCTTCTGTCTATTAAAGCCCAAATGAACAAAGGCTCCTCTTATCTGAGTGGGACTGTCTTTCCACTTAGGTTTGGGGCTCACATCTATATGAGAAGAATAACTTCTCCTTCCCTTTTTTATTAGCAGTAAGCATGTACGTACTGCTGATTCCTCTACTTTATTCTGTTCAGTTTGTCTACTCCGCCTTACTCCTCCGATCTGCTGTTTCCTCTTCTCTTCTTTGTCTGGCTTTGGGGCGTCCCCTTTCGAGGCCCTGTGGGTAGCGCTCCAGCTTTGCGGAAACTGACAATTTTCGTTGCAACCTGAAGATAAATCGGAAACTTTGGGAAAAAAGTCCTTAAATTATAGCGTTTAGGGTGTCACTCATCTAGCTTTAGGGTACCCTTCCGCCTGGGTATTGGATATCCCCATGTTAAGCTTGGTGCAAGATGCCTTACAGGTAAGATTTTCTTGACCCCATCCTGCCGTTACCCATAGGACTGTACCCACACCCAGCAGTTGTCCATGTCATGTCCATCAGCTCTAACCACCCTATGTCTTACCTGTTCGCATTTTGTCCGGTACTCAATTATAGATTATGGAAGGAGTTTAAGAAAATTTACATATCAATATAGCCTGCTGTGTTGATTATCGCAAACTAAGTGTGAGTGGAACTCATTCTGACGAAGCGCGAGCAGTAACATTTTGTAATGCTTCTTAAAGTAGCATCGGACGTGTCGTAAACGTCTTACAGATATCCGTAATGATATCAGTAACTTTGCCCAAAATTTGTACCAGCCCAACCACATGCTCATTCCATACAAGGGCTCATAGGATTACACATCTAGTGAAATCCCTTACTTGGTACGTCCTTCTATCGCTGTTTGTCTTTTTCGGTTTGAGGGCTTACTCTACGCGGCCACTAGCGTGCTACTCTCTCTCTCTCTCTCTCTCCCTCTCTCTCTCTCTCTCTCTCCTCCTCTCTCTCTCCTCGTCTCTCTCTCTCATCTCCTCCTCTCGTCTCTCCATCTTCTCCTCATCTCGCCTGCTCACTCTC